AGGGCGGCTCCTAGCCACAGCCTATGCCACGCCGAGCACATCTCGTCGGCCAAGTCTGGTCCCAACCCGCAGGAGATGCAGAATCCTCCCGCAAGGCAGGGCAGCAAATATCGGGACAATACTGCAATCTACCAGCACCAGCTGGACCAGGAGCTGACCGCCCGCTCAGGCTCTCCATCCCAGCCCCATGGAACCCGTGAGGCGCTCACCAAAAGCCACTGTCGTCCGTGTGCATTTTTAACTTTGCTTTGTCCTTGTCAGTGTCTAAACTGTGATGAGATTTCTTTTTCTTTCTTTCTTTCTTTTTTTTTTTTAAATTCACCTAAAATCTGGTGGTCAGTGTGGTCCTCACAAGAGAAACGTTGTTAAAACAGTGCCTTGGGCAGAAACTCTCATTCACTGCTGCAGGGAGTGCCTAGTTGCAGGCACTCTGGAAGTGCCTAGTTGGGGGCACTCTGGAAGACGGGGCGGCGGTGTTTTCTTGCAAAACCCAACACCGTCTGCCCACACGGCCCAGCAGTTATGCTCCTCAGGATGCACCCAGTGGAGTTAAGAATGTGCATCCACACCAGAAACCTGCACAGCTTTATCCATAATTGTCCAAAGTTGGAAGCGACCAAGAAGTCCTTCAGGAGGCGTGTGGGCAAATAAACTGTGGTCCGTCCAGCCAACAGAATCTTCTTCGGCGCTGAAAAGGAATGAGCTCTCGAGCCGAGAACGGTCATGGAGGAACCGTCAATGAGCACCAGTGGGTGAGAGAAGCTGGTCTGAGGAGGCCAGAGGCCGCGACCTCAGCTCTACGACATTCCGGAAAAGGCAGAACAAGGGACACGGGACAGAGATTGGGGGTTGTCAGGGTTTGGGGGGGTGAACAGGCAGGGCACAGAGGGCTTTAGGGCGGGGACCCCACTCCGCGTGACCCCGTGGTGGTGGACACACGTCTCACACGTCTGTCCGAACCCACAGGACGCACACCACCGAGAGTGACCTCTTATATAAAATATCGACTTTAGTTAATAATGGTATATAAATTTACTTTTAAGAAACAGCGCTCTTGAGCTTGGGGGCGAGCTGTGTCCTGGCTGGCGACCAGGCCAGTGGCTCCAAAAGTCCTCGCCTGTGAGGGCTAACACCTCCTTGGCAGGGTTGAGCACTAAACATGCATCCTGGGGTCCACAGGCCTGGTGAGAATGGGAATCGGGGCAGGGAAGGGCCTGGATGACAATTTATGTCCAAAACAAGGGGCCCTGTCTCTGTTTTCCCCTTCTCCTCTTCTCAGTAAAAGCTTCCTCAGCTCTGAGAATGACCCACATTCCCACTTACGGGAGCCCCAAACGCCCCACCTGTTTTCCCATACCCACTCCAGCCCACCAGCAAGTCCTGCTCGCCCTCCCTGCCAGCCCAGCTCAGCTCTCTGGACCCCACCTCGCACCCCAGCCCCTCTGGCCCATCACTCCATGAACACTCCAGGCCTCCAGGCCTTTGCAGCGCCTGTGCCCTCTGCCCAGAACTCCTCTCCCAGTTAGTCCTCGTGGTGTGTGCCCCTCCCTTGTAAAGCTCAGATGTCACCTGCTGGGGGGCTGGCACAGCCTGCTTTAGACAGTAGCCCCCCGCCCTCTGCCCTGACACAGGGGCTCAGCTCCACTTACTGGTGACATGACCACCTCTGCTGTGGATCACTTAGCACGTTTCACTACGTCACCTCCCACGACAGAGGCAGCTCCTGCAAGCAGGGACTGACTGGGTCCCTTTCATTCACCGCCCTGTCTCTGGTGCCCAGAGTGGTGTGTGGCACGCTGGAGGCCCTTGGAATAGTTGCCGACCGGGTACCTCTGCCTGGATGGCCGCCGGAGCCCCTTGCTGACCCTTGCCTCCCTCCCCACCCAGCAGCCTCAGCACGCTTTTTAAAATTGCTGCAACTTCTGTCACCCCAGGGGCTCCCCACTGCCTACAGATAAAATCCAACCTTTGACTCCAGCTCATCGGACCCAGGAAGGTCCAGAAGACCGGAGGAAAAGAACAGGGAGTGGGGAGGCCAGGCAGCCACACCCCAAAAGGCACTGTTAGGTGCCTGTTAGCCAGGCCGGCCGAGGGCCCCCCAGAGCCAGAAGACACCCCCAGGCAGCCCCCTCGCCCCACTCTCGGCCTCATTCAGACCCTCCAGCTCAGACACACTCACTGTCCCCCCTGTGCACATGGAGCCCTCCCCTCCTGCAGCTCCCTTGCCCACCCCTGCCTGGGGCGGCCCATTCCCAGCCTCTGCCTAGTTAAAGCCTCTACAATCTGTCCCCAGCCCAGTCTGCATGAAGTTGCCATGTGGCTAGAGCCTAGCACAGTGCCTGGCTTGCAGCATGCGCTCAGTTAGTGTCTGGGGGAGCCTGAAGAAGACACATCGTCTGAGCCCCTGACGTTCACTGCACGCCTGTTGTGTGTGCCTGGCGCAGGGCTCCACACTTTGTGCGTGTGAGCTCACATTCCCCTCCTGCAGCCCGGGGAGCCTGGCTCCCCTCCCCATCTCATGCCTGCCTTCCAAGAGACAGGCTAGGGCAATGCAGCCCTGCTGAGGTCAGTGACTCGCCGTCCGGTAACTTGCTCCATGCCTCAGTTTCCTCCTCAAACGGGGAACATGGCGGGGCTGCATTGGTAATATCTCGCTGAACTGTGCTCAGCTCGTGCCATTAGGGCCCCAAGACTGGTTGGCCTGGTTGTGGCTGTAGTATTAGTACTATCATCATCATCATCATCATTATGGATCCCCACACGTGTGCTGGCTGCCAGTCTGCTCCCAGGTGCTCTGGGCTTGGGCAGGGCCTGGGCATCCGTAGAGGAAAGGGCCCATTCTGACAGCAGGGCGCATGCCCATTCTCACCGTCACGAGTACAGATGAGAAGAGAGTTGGGGACCACCAGAGGTTATTGTATCCCTAATATCCTCTTATGACGACCACAGGGCACCAAAGGCAGGAAACGGAGACCCACCGAGGGAAAGAAGGGCTTGCCGGGTCCACGTGTGCAACGGGGTCACACGGTGGCTCCAAATCCGATGCTTTTTCCCTGTGCCTCGAGGGCAACCTCTAGGTATCTGCTAGCAGCTCCTGCTGGGGCACAGGGGGGCATCTCTAAAAACGATAGCATTGTTCACCTTCCCATGGGGAGGCAGCACTCGCCCTGCTTTGGAGAAAGCCACCCTTGGGTGACAGCAGGAAGCGGGGAGGGACAGCTGGGCTGCACCCCTGGCTCTCATGCCGGGGCTGTGTGCAGAGCAGGGCACAGCTGTGCTTGGGGACTGTGAGGTGCCCCTCTCCTGCCAGATTCAGGTAGAGCGCAGGGGACTCTGCCAGGGGCCGGGCCCAGCAGCCCCCACTCGTGCCTCCACTGCCATCATGCTTCCTCCCCCTCGCCCCCGCTGTGGTCACACGGCGGGGCGGGGGGTGGGGGGTGGTGGGACAGGAGAGGCTTGAAGCCTGATGTCAGGTCCAAGCAGGCCTAATTCCCACGTTGTAATCAGGCTGATAGCAAGCTGGAGGGGGGCCAGGCCCCCCGACTCTCACTGCTGGGGCATTTCTCAGTGACCTGTCCAGCCCCATTTCCCTCCTCCAGGCCCTTTTAGGCACTTGGGGGGGAGGCGAAGTTAATTACATCTAGATGCATCTTCAGACTCAAGGGTTGAGCCCAGCCTTTGTCCCTGAGCCATCGGGGACGTTCGGTGTTGCCTACAGCCCCAAAACGGTTAACTTAAATACACCACCAGGCCCCTGCTTCTCCTGGCCCAAGGCACCAGCACAAATACTGCCAGCCGTCAGTTTGTGCTACTTCACGTCATCCTTTCCATTGTAAGCCATAATTTTCAGAGGTTTATAGGTCAGCTATAAAAAAATAAAATAAAATAAACCTCCTCTTTTCGACTGAAAGGGAGTACTTTGAAACCAGAAGGCTGGTGGGTGCATGCGCCTGCATGCGACCTCGAGTTCCTCCTCAGCCGGAGCCCACCCCTCCCCACCCCTCCCCACCCCTCCCTGGCCCGTGGCGCCTCCCCTCCCCCCTCCTTCGCAGGCCTTTGGGCCGCCCCTCCCCCACTGCGAGCGCAAACAGGCCCGGAACCCGTCAGGGGGTCTTCTGGCCGGACCCCGGTGGACCCTGGCCCACGAAGCTGGGAACCCCAGAGCCATTGGGGCTCCACCCTGTGCGAGGCTTGAAGAGTTGAAAGCCCTGGTTCCCAGGAGGCGCGGCGGCAGTCAGCAGGGGGGAAATGGGCGTTGGCCCAGCCCCCACAAGTGCCCACCTGAGCCCCATCGGGGCTCAGCCCAGGGCGGCTGGAGTGTGGGTGGCTTCCCTGGAACAGGGGAAGCAGTGAGCCCCCCACCCCGAGTCTCGACGCACAGCCCCGCACGTGAGGGGGGCGGGAGGGAGGGGTGACAGAGAGGGCGGGGCCGCTCATCCCTAAGTTAGGGGCCTGCAGCAGGTGGTGGTGGGCCTGTCCTACCAGGAGAAAGTCCCTGTCGCTTTGGGACGGGTGGCCTAGAAAGAAGCTGGGCTGCCCCCTGTGTCCACTGTCCTATCTCCCTAACTTCTGGGGGTGCCAGAGAAGGAGGCTGGAGGCAGTTCACGCACACACGGAGCTGACTTGCAGCGTTTTTCGGCCTCTTTATTTAGAACCCGGCGGACGAGGGGCCGGGGCAGTGGTGCAGACGGCTCAGGAACCATGTTAACAAATTTGTCTTCAAGTTTAAAATAATCATAATAATGAAAAGAGACAGCGAAAGCGCGAAGAGAACTGCTAGCTAGATGGGCTTGTACGGCAGCTACAGCTTGTGAGCGACCCCCTCCCCCCAGAGTCCGCTATAAAAATAAATTTACATTTGTCGATAACCAGATGCGGTGACGTGCCTTTGGCATAACCAATAACCGAGCTATCGCGTGGCAGAGCGGCCCACGCCTCGACATAAATAGAAAATATAAGTTAGTATAACTTTAAAAACTTTTTGTACAAATATACATGTTTTTTTCTTTTTTCCTTTTTTTTTTCTTTTTTCATTTTTTTGCACTGAGTTTCAGCAGAGATTAAACATTTTATATAAATGACTCTTAAAGCTTTACACCTTGGGACCAGTGTACTCCTCGTGCAGAATACATTTAGATATAAAAGACGTTATTAATACATTGCACAGTTTTTTTTTTTTTTTAAATTTTAAACACGAAACCGAACGCTGCTCGGTGGCAGCTGCCGCCGGTTGCTGCTACATGGACGGTCCCAGCCGAGGCCCCGCGCTCCTGTCCTGTCCGCTGCCCAGCGGGCTCCCTCAGGGCTCTTTACGCGCGACGCTGCGGGAGAGAGGCGCGGTGAGCGACAGCAGACAGACAGACAGGGTGGCCACGAGGACCCCGCAGGGCGACCCCTCCCCGCCCAGCGCGCGCGGGGCGGTACCCACCTCATCGCAGCCGCTTGCGCGGGGTCTGCTCCGCCGAGCCTACGGCTGGAGCGGCGCCTGGGGCGGCGCATCCCGCGGGAACCTCGTTCGACGCCTTGGCCTCGGGCGCGGGTCTCTTGCGCTTGGCGAAGAAATCTGCGGGCGACAGCGCGCACAGCCGGTCAGGGCGGGGTCGGCAGGGGAACCCAAGAGGGGGCCGGGGTGGGGGCGCCGTCCCCGCCCGCGCCGAGGTCCGCGGCGGGTCAGCTTTGTTTACGTCGCCCGCGCAATGTGCTGTGTAAGCATTTCTCCTTGTCCCGCGGCCAAGCCCCCCGGGGCTGCCGCCGCGCTTAACCCCCTCCGCGCCGCGCCCGCCGCGCCCGCCGCGCCCGGGGAGGGGCTCCCGCGGCCAGAGCGAGGATCGCGCGCCCAGGGGGCCCGAGCGCGCGCTCTCCCATCCCTCCCGCGCCAGCCGCTCGGGAGCACAACAACAAGGCGGGACGGGGTGCGGGCGCAGCCGCGCCCAGCGCGCTGCTGGCCCTTTAATGCCACGGGAGGAGGCGGGGACCAAGTGAGGCCCCCGAGGCCGGGGGAGCCCGGCCGGCCGGACAAAGCAGGGCCGGGCCGGGCCGGGGCGGGGCCGCGCGGGACTCACCGGAGATGAGAGGCCCGGGCAGCTTCTTGATCGCGGCGCCTCCCGCGGCGGCGGTGGTGGCAACAGCCCCTCCAGCGGCGGCGGCGGCGGCATTGGTGGCGGCGGCGGCGGCGCTACCGGTGGCAGCAGCAGTGCCCGGCGCGGGGCGCCCCGACATCCCTGAGTGCAGCGGCTCGGCGAGGGGCTCCTGGCTGCGCGGCGGCGGGACCGCCTCCTGCTCATCGCTCTCCTGCGGCGCCGCGGCTGGGGCCGGGGCGGGAGCCACCACCGGGCCGCCGGACGGCGGCGCCGGCGCCTCCCCGAGGCCGTCGAGGGGCTCATCGGCCGGCGGCGCGGGGGGCGGGCTATCGCCTGCGCCCTCCGGGCGGGGCCGGGGCGCCAGGAGCAGGCGGCAGCGCCCCACCTGCACCGTCTCGCGGTAGAAGGCGGGCACGGAGTCGCTGTCCACCTCGGTCCACTGCAGACGCCCGGGGCCGCGCAGTGGCACGTCCTGCTGGAAGTTGTAGTCCCAGCGGCGCTGGTCCTCGGCACTCAGCTCGGCCAGGCGGATCTGCAGCTCACGGCTCAGCTCCTCGTGGTCCACCGGCCCGAAGAGGCTGCGGCAGGCGCTGGTGCGCGCGAACAGGGGAAAGGTGCGGCGGGCGACAAGGCGCTCCATTGCCAATGCGCTGCGGAGACACACGTCGAACCTGGCCCGGGACAGCGCGGGCCGGGGCCACGGGAGAAGAGAGGAGAGGAAGAGGAGGAGGAGGAAGAGAGGAGAGGAGGGCGGAGGCCGGGCGCAAGTGAGACCCCGCGCAGTCGGAGTCTGCATTTGCAAAGGGACGCGGCGGGAGGGCGGGCGCGGCGGCTACCTGGCTGTCGGGCCCTGGGCTGCTCCTGAGTCTCGCTTGCGGTGTCGTCCGGCCGGCGGCCGCGCCCCCTCAGTGCCTGTCCTCGCCCGCTCGGCTCGTTCGGGCCTGGTTGGCACCTACCGAGCGCAGAGCACTTGGCCTGTGAAACGCCCAGCCCTCGCGCGCCCCTTTATACGCGAGGGTCCCACCCCCCCCCCCGCGCGGGGGCCCCGCGGCGATTAGCATAATGTAGTATTTTCAGTTTCAACAACACCGCGGCGATTGGCCCGCGCCGGTCTGCCCCCGCCCCGCTCGCAGCCCGGCCCCGTCGTGACCCTCCTTGACCTGCGTGATGTCAGTGCCTGACTCAGCCCAGTATCCCCGCCGGCCCCCCCCCCCCCCCCGCGCGGGGGCCCCGCGGCGATTAGCATAATGTAGTATTTTCAGTTTCAACAACACCGCGGCGATTGGCCCGCGCCGGTCTGCCCCCGCCCCGCTGGCGGCCCGGCCCCCGCGCGCCGCCCATTGGCCGCGTGCACACACCCACCCGAGGGCGGGGCGGGGCGCGCGGGCCGATTGGCGGGGCGCGGGCCGCGCGCGGCAGCGGGCGGGGGGCGGTGAGCGGGGCGGGGCCCGAGTTAAAGGGCGCTGCGGGCGGTAACGTGACACCGCGGCGCCCCGCCCCCTCGCCCCATCCCCCCCCTCCCGCCCCCCTCCGGCTCCTTTGTCTGCTGGCGGGGGCTGCGAGGCGGCGGCGGCGGTGGCGCGGGCGCCCCCTCGGCCGGCGCGCCCTCATCGGCGCGGCGGGGCCCGGCGTCCGGGCAGTTCCGACTCGCCCCCCGGGGGCGCCAGCCCCGCCGCCGGTGCTCACCATTGGGCCTCCAGCGCCAGCTGAAGGGGCTTGAACCAGCCGCGGGCATCTCGTCCCTAGCTGGAGCGAGACGGGGTCTTCGGCTGCCCCCGCGCGGCCTGCGGCGCCTGGGGCTTAAGTCCCTGGCGGGGTTACGCGCACCTGGAGCCCTAACACACCTGCTGGCCCTAAGGCCCTCGAACCACTCTTCCCGCCCCCCCACCACAGGGCGAAGTCTCAGACACCTTGAAGAGCCGGCCCTCAGCCCCTGGAGTCCTGAGCCAGATCTGGGAGCCTGCCCAGCCCTGCTCAGTGGATGGGAAACAGGCGGAGCCCGTCCGGGGCTATGCCCACCACGTCGTGGACCAGGTGCCCGGCACCTCTCAGGCTTCGGCCACACAATGCCAGAGGTCTGAGTGCCCAGACTGGCTGGAGGCTGTTATCCCTGGATGGGGTATTGGATGGGTCACTAGAGGCTTCTCCAGTGGGGTGGGTCTGGCCCGGCCTAGCCTAGGGTCTTGACTGGGTATACTGATCCTCTGGGCCAGCTTTATCCCCCATCACACAGGGAACCCCCAGGTGGGAGGTGGGGGTGAGCGGTGGGCAGCTCCGCTCTAGCTGCTGTAGTTGTACCTGTCCCACCGTCCTGGAAGGCTAGCACCCCCTCATCCTGCCCAAGAAATATTGTTGGTTGTTGGGAGAAAACACACCCTGAGAATGATGGGGCATGCGAGCCAGAGGGCCCTACTCCAGCTGTCAGGGGAAAGGGAAGGACCTGCCAGAACCCAGACCCCTTCTCCCCCACACGCTGGGCCTTGCCACAGCCCCAGGTCCTCCCTGGAGGCTCTCACCCAGCAGGGCCAGGCCATGGGAGACCATTACTTTCTGCAGCTTTCCCTTTGGCCCAGCCTGTTGTGGGGCGGGGAGCCTAGGAACTGCCTGCAGCCACCCCACCCCGACCCCAGCCCAAGCTAAAAGCAGCCCTGGGCTGGGGGAGTGGGCAGGGTCAGGCACCTGTTGGAGGGTCCAGCAGAGCCCTGAGCTGTCAGCCCCTGTCCCGGGTGAGCCCATGAGCCCAGCGAGAAAAATAAGGCTGACCCGACCCCAACCAGACTGCCTCCCCACAGGGTCAGGGTGGGTTCCAGGACTCCCCAGGGACGGGACAGTGTGATAGTGTGCAAATTTGTCCTGGAGGAGGTATCCTGGGTCCAGGGGAGGCGAGGGTTGAAGTGAGGGGATGAGACCCAAACAGGAGTGGGCATTGGCGCAGGGGGGGGGGGGGGGGACAGGGTAGGGTGCTGGGGTCTTGATAGGAGGACCAAGCGATGGTTCATGATTGGTTTTTATTCTGTTCTGTGCACTGCATTCCACATTTCCCGCAAGCATTGAGATGTTACAATTTTGTATCTTCAGGAACGTAAAGAGGAACTGAGAAAGATCCCCCAAGCTCTGTGGTCTCCTCACACCAGGCTGACGTCACCTGGCCTGGGGCTAGAAGGAGGCAGGCCTGGCCCAGCCCTGGTGCCAAGGTCACACCAGCTTCCCCAGGGCCACAGCCGGTAGTGACCACAGAATGTGGAACCAGGTGGCCCCCAGGATTTCCAGAGAGGTCCGGATGCCCTGGCTCCAGCTATCCAGGAGGGCAGGCTGGGGAAGTAGCCCACCCCCAGGCCAGATTCAGCCTCCAGGCCGGCTCCCTTCCTTAAGGAAGGAAGCCACCCCACTCCCAGCGCCTGCTCCAGACACCCAGGGGAGTCCGAGCTCTCCTCCCTAGCAGGGACTGCCTGGTGCTATGCACACCTGTCTGCCCTCGGCTCCCTAAGGGCAGAGGACCTAGTAGGTGCTTCATAAATGAGCAGGAGCCGAGCCTGCACCAGGCCCCTGCGTGACCCTGCCCTCCCCCAGCACTGTCCAGGTCAGGGGGTGGGCTTAGAGGGCCATTCCCACTGCCTTTGGTGCCCACCCTGCCACCTCCATTGGGGCCAGTTGAGCTCAGACAGGTGGGTCCCAGGCCCCCTCCCAGTGATAAGCCTAACGGATTGTGACATTGAGTCCTGCCTCCAAGGACTGGGAGAGGCAGGCCCCCACACCTCGTGTCACACAGTGTGGCAATAGCGGCCCCTCTTCACTGGGGCCCAGCGCTGCCCAGGATAGCTTTCCTGCATCCCCTTGCTGGGCCTCACCTGTTGTGCAGGGAAGGGAGGGGGACGGAGCTGATAGCGGGAGCCTGGGGAAGCCACCAGGGCCACGCATGGTGGGGGAGGGAGCAAGGTTTGACTCACCCTCCTCCCGCTGCCTGGCTTTCTCTTCGCTTTCCCTCAGGGCTTTCTGCTTCTCTTTCTCCAAGGGCCGGGAGGACACCTCCCCTCCTGGGCTTGTTAGGGCAGGGAGGTGACCTTCTCTGAGTATGTGACCCTGAATCCGGTCAAGGATGGTACCCATCGGCTCACTGACCTGCCGGTCCCAACAGTGGGGTTGGGTCCCTTCCCCCAAAAGCCGGGGACGGACCTGGGGGCAGACAGCTGAGGGGCTGGGGGCTGGAAGTCTGAGAGAAGGCCCAGGCCTCCACCCCAAGGGCCCCCCACCAAGTGTGCAAACTTCTGTCTGAGTACAATAACCAAGCTCTACTTTTGTAATTAAAAATATATTCCAAGGAGAAAAAGAAACAAAAGGAACAGTGTTTGTACTCTGTTGCAGCAGGCAGCAGAACCAGAGAAGGGGTACTGGCCCCGGCGAGCAGCAAGGAGAGGCGCCCGGGATGCCCCAGCACCCTAAATCCTGCCCACTCAGGAGTGGGGGAGCCCAGCAGGCGCCTGGCCCCCTGCTGGCTTCTCCGGCGTACCTCTCTCTGAACTCACCACCCAGTCCAGCGGAGGAGCGACCAAGCAAAAGCACTGTGTTCCCCAAACCATTTCCTCTTCCTCTGACTGAACAGAACAAAGACCACATTCCCAGCCCCTCGGCAGCTGGGGGGCCACACGTCCAGTGCTGGCCACAGACAGGAGAGCAGAAAGGCACCCACCCCCTCCCGCCCAGGGCCCATCCACACCAGCCAAGCTGTCCTGCCCCCTCCTGTCCCCGCTCTGCCAGACAGACGGGGGGTGGGGGGGGGTGGGGTCCAAGGAGGTACTCCTGGGGACAGCAGAGCCCCTGGGTGGCTGAAGCCCTGAATGACCCCAGGGAGCAGAGCCACGAGCTCCCTCTGCACACCCACCTGACCGAGATGGGAGTGAGAAATAAGGGTCGACTGCCACTAACACGCAGGGGGCGGGGGGCTTGTCTGTCCCAACCGCCAGCGCTGCCCATCCCCGACTCCCCTGCATGGCATGGGCCTGTTTGGGGTGTCATTTTCTGGATGAGGAGACAGGCTTGGGCAGTTTGAAGAACTTGGTCCTGCTCCAGGGCTTAAGGCAGCTAACCCCCTAACCCAGGGCCTTGCGGGGCTGTTTCCCCTGGCAGTGCCCCCCAGTGCCAAGGGAGTGGGCCCCTTTTGCAGTCCAGGAAACTGAGGCTCGATGGGGAGACACTCTTGCCCAAGCGAGTGGCAGAGCTGGGCGGGCCGGGAGGCGCCGTCCTTGGCCACGTGCTGCCGCCTGGCGGCTGACTTCCACTCTGGGTGTCCCAAAGCCCCCTCCTTCTGGGGAGCCGTGTGGAGCTGCTTCTGGAAGCCCAGGAGGGCAGCCTGTGTCCTGGGGCCCGCCCCCGGCGTGCCCCCAGGGACCCTGCGAGGGGCGTCTGTCTGCAGGCCTCCCGGACTGCCCTGCAGGCGCCCAGGCACATTCCCCAGGCTGACAGCACCAGACACCTTGAGCCCGCCCTGCACCCGGGCGCAGCTCCTTGCCTCACTTAATCCTTCCAAGAACCCGTACAGGGAGGCATTTTGATGCCTGTTTTGCAAGGGAGAAACCAGAGGCTCAGAGAGGTCGAGCAAGCGCTCAGCGCTCAGGGGCAGCTGATCGGTGCCTTTCTCCGGCCCTGAGCCCCTCCCTGGACTTCCATGAGGGGGGGCGGTGAGCACAAAGGCAGGAGAGGAAAGAAAGCAGGAGTTCCAGGGTTAACCTCCCCTGCCGTTCCCCAAACCTGGAGCCAGGGCTGGCCATCTGTGGGGGCCTGTGGCCCAGTCCCGGGAGGGCGGACCCCTCAGGCGCCTCCCATCAGGGAGGTGACCAAGCTCTTGCCCAGCCCAGTCTGCCCTCTCCTGTGTAGATCTTGGCCTGTCCATTGTGTACCCCACCAGGGCAAAGGCCCGCGGGCCCCATCCATTCCCCACCCCCTCCCCCACAGCCCCGGGCTGGGCCAGCCCTTGCCCCACCCCCCACCCCACCCCCAGCCGCAGCACCCCACAGTGGGCCTGGACAGGCCTGGCCA